CCCCGGGGTCATTATTTGAACAATTTAGAATCTACATTATACCAGGATGCTTCCACATAAGTTTCAGCTTTTCTGGCCCAGTGGTTCTTGAGAAGAAGATTTTCAAAGAATTTTCCTACATATTTCTATATAAAACTTTGATTCCCCATTGTGGCCCCGCCCTTCCTCCAGGGGTCATTATTTGAACAATTTAGAATCTACACTACATCAGGATGCTTCCACATAAGTTTCAGCTTTTCTGGCCCAGTGGTTCTTGAGAAGAAGATTTTGAAAAATTTTTCCTATATATTTCTATTTAAAACTTTGATTCCCCATTGTGGCCCCGCCCTTCCCCCGGTGGTCATTATTTGAAAAATTTAGAATCTACATTAAACCAGGATGCTTCCACATAAGTTTCAGCTTTTCTGGCCCAATGGTTCTTGAGAAGAAGATTTTCAAAGATTTTCCCTATATATTTCTATATAAAACTTTGATTCCCCATTGTGGCCCCGCCCTTCCCCCGGGGTCCATTATTTAAACAATTTAGAATCTACATTATACCAGGATGCTTCCACACAAGTTTCAGCTTTTCTGGCCCAGTGGATCTTGAGAAGAAGATTTTCAAAGAATTTTCCTACATATTTCTATATAAAAATTTGATTCCCCATTGTGGCCCCGTCCTTCCCCCCGGGGTCATTATTTGAACAATTTGGTATGTACATTATACCAGGATGCTTCCACTTAAGTTTCAGCTTTTCTGGCCCAGTGGTTATTGAGAAGAAGATTTTCAAAGAATTTCCCTATACATTTCTATGTAAAACTTTGATTCCCCATTGTGGTCCCGCCCTTCCCCCGGGGGTCATTATTTGAACAATTTAGAATCTACATTATACCAGGATGCTTCCACATAAGTTTCAGCTTTTCTGGCCCAGTGGTTCTTGAAAAGAAGATTTTCAAAGATTTTCTCTATATATTTCTATATAAAACTTTGATTCCCCATTGTGGCCCCGCCCTTCCCCCAAAGATTTTCCCTATATATTCCTATGTAAAATTTTGATCGCCAATTGTGGCCCGCCTTTACCCCAGGGGTCATGATTTGAACTAGCTGCAGATCTGTAGCGTTATGGTTTTATATATTTGTCTCTGACCATAATGCTACAGATCCCGTAATGCAAAAAAGGTGCAATTTACGGCGCAAGATTTTCTGCGCACATTGGGAAGAATTTCTCAATTTTCCACCATCGGTCAATTAAACACCTTTCACTTCCAAATTCTAGGCACATTATTTAACTAATCTGTATATTTTATTCATCTCCGAACCCTTTATATTCGTCTCTACAAGTGATAAACTCGCTTGATTAAAATTATTTGTTAGATTGCTGAAAATTCACTTCAAGCGAGTTTATTGCCTGTAGAGACAACTATAAATGGTTGGAAGGTGGATAAAATATACATATTGGATACAGAATGTGTCTAGAATTAGGGAGTGAAAGGTAGTTGATTAACCAATGCTAGAAAGTGGAGAAAATCTCCCCAAAAATGCGCAAAAAATATTGCGCCGTAAATTGCACCTTTTCTGCATTACGGGGTCAGTAGCGTTTTGGTCAAAGACAAAATAATAATATGAAACCATAACGCTACAGATCTGCAGCTAGATTTGAACAAATTTGAATCTACTCTACCTGAATATACTTCCATATAAAAAATGACTAACCATGACTTTGCTGTTCTTAAGAAGAAGATTTTTAATGATCTTTTCCTATGTAAAACTTTGACTCCCCATTGTGGCACCGCCCTAACCCGGGGGGTCATGATTTGAACAAATTTGAATCTACACAACCTGAGGATGCTTCCATAAAAATATGACCAATCATAACTTTTCTGTTCCTCATCAGAAGATTTTTAAAGATTTTCCTGATATATACCAATGTAAAACTTTGACCTTCCATTGTGGCCCTGCTCTACACCGGGGGACATGATTAGAACAATCTTGAATCTGCACTACCTGAGGATACTTTTATATAAATATGAACAATCATGACTTTGCTATTCTCAAGAAGATTTTCCCTATATATTCCTATATGAAACTTCGTTCATTATGGCCCTGCCCTACCCCCAGGGGTTATGATTTGTACAACCTTGAATCAACATTACATGAAGATGTTTCCATATAAGTTTCATCTTTTCTGGCCCAGCGGTTCTTGAGAAGAAGATTTTTAAAAGATGCCATTAATTTTTCACCAATTTTTAATTTAATATTTCCCCTTGGAATAGTGTGTGGCCCTTCTTTTGAACAAACTTACATCCCCTTAACCCAAGGATACTCTGTGTCAAGTTTGGTTGAAATTGGCCCAGTGATTCTTGCGGCGAAGATGAAAATGTGAAAAGTTAAGATGACAACACCACAACAGACAACGGACAAATTTTGATCAGAAAAGCTCACTTCTTTGGCATGGGTGAGCTAAAAATTAAATGCTGGAAAATGAAAAACAATTTGTGTGTTCTTTTAAATAAATGAGTAAATAAATTATTGCTGACAATGAGACATTTTTTGTGTCTTAAAATCCATTAATACCACCATCAAGCAAATACCTGCCCCCCCTTTTTATAATCTCCTTTTCTTTATCATTCGAAAATTACCATCCCACAGATGTAGCCAAAAACATACACACGAAAAAGGACATTTCTATTATTGATCTTTGTTTTTTTTAGCTAATTTGACAACCTCAGTGGTAGTGACGAAAAAGATGATACATCAGAATTTATCAGGTATCAATACAGTTATGCATCATTGGTTGTCATTTACCTACTTCCCTCGCATTCATTGTTTACTGTCTTTAAAAGTTTTAAAGCAGGGACACACCTGATCACAGAGGTGAGTGATGTTCAAAATGTCTTCCTCTGAGATTTCTGTTCCCATGGAGATTTCAGCTGCTTGTTTCACTTCCTGTTCTATGTCCTCTGGCAGAATGTCAGATAGGTCTGTGCTGACTGCGTTTGTTCTGTAGCCTGCAAAGTTAACAACGAAACGTACATAAATTTTATTTAAAAGTAAAATACATTTCATAAATCAATTGAAATACTTTCTGGAAAAATAACATTATTCTTGCCTGAAAAATATTATATTTATTGTAAGATATTAGTGTAATGCAATGTATCTAAATAACTGACTTGATTACCAGACCTTGATGTCAAATTCATATAAAAGATTACCCATTTTCTTCACAGTCTTAGCATAAGCCAGGTTATCTCCGATTATCTTTGTAAGCTCTGGAAAGTGCCATCCATACCATTCTCTTGACCTCATTATGTAGTTGTTTAATTCCTTGTCAAGGTCATCCAGTAGTGCTGAAATACAAAAGGGACATAGGGGATATATCTCAAGACCCTCAATAATTGATTCTGATTTTATATACTGACACGCAAAAGAAACGCAACAAGCAGTAATCTACAAATGTTTGATTTTTTTATCTTATGATTTTCAAAAGCGAATAAAGTAAGGCTAAACTCACTTTTCAGAACATCAGAAATTTGATAAAAATGTTAAATGTTTATCTGTTTAGTTTACTAAGTAAAATATGACTGTTAAAACAACCCCCTCCCAGCCATTCAAGTAAAACGTGCAAGACTGCCCTAAGCAACAGTTGCAGCCTAATTTCTACGATATAATAGGTTCATTAATATCGAGATCTGAGCGAAGGAATTACTCTTTGGCATTTTTAAATGCCTGTTTTTCAGATGATTAGGTCGAATTTTCTCTAACTTAGAGCAGTGTAGCCACCCTTGGACTTCCGGTACAAGGACTGTCCTTAATGCATATGATACGTAAGACCCTGTTGAGGCGTAATGTAGTGAAATTTTGCATCAGCAACTCTCCATCACCTTCACATTGAAATTTTCCAGCTATAGCAACGGAAATGCATACATAAACCATTTTCAAGTAGCCTTGGCATCGTTACGGGAAACAAAAGGAGAGTTTATTTCTTGAAATATTGCTGCATTACTTATGATGAACAGTATAAAACATTTAAAACTCCATAATATTGCCAATTGTTTTGTTAAGGCCTAAAAAAAAAAAAAAAGTTTGTTTCCTGTAACCCGACCGACCCATTCAAATTACCCCCGGGTGGATTTTTTTTTTCTGACAAATGCCAAAACTTCGTTTGATCAATCAGCTGATTCCATTTATTAAAAAAAGAAAATTAGCTTGTAGCTTAAACTGAGACATAAAATATGTCAACCTAGTTTACATTTACCTTATTTATTAAGAGTAATCATTATTATAACAACTATTTCCCCCTACAACTTGCTGAAGTTCGTTTTCTGCCTCTTGGCAGCCATTTTGGATGCCATGTTGGGTGCCCACTGTAAATATGACACCTAGTATATTCAGTCCGGGGATGTTTGACCATTCATAATCACAAAAAAAAAAAAAAAAAAAAAAAAAAAAAAAAAAAAAAAAATTCCTGACCTACCGACCCTTAATTTTTTGGGAATGTTACAGGAAACGATAATGTTCGACATTGAGTCGAATGTCTTAATTTCCATTATGTTTAGTTATACATGTTTTAACTTACTTAAGTATGTCTTCAAAAGCTTGTGCTTTAATTTCAATAGAAGTAATGAAAACCTCTTTTAAAATTGTATTGTTTTTCTTTATAATTTTGAAAATGATTATTATTAGGACTTACAACACCTGAGTGCCTAGATGACTGTTGAACTAATTGGTGAACAAGAAAAGATGCCAGAAAGGGCAATCCAATACAGATGTCATGATCAAGAATATATACTCTTAACAATGATATGATCAAGAATATGTTAACTTGTAATGATTTAAAATATCTTATCTGTAAATCACTCTTCATTACTTAATTGTTCACACATTATCATCTACACTTATGCTATAAATCTTATCTGTATATTAATCGCCCCCTCTTATCTAACCCCCCTGCTGATTGTAATGACCTGTGTATTGACACTTGATCTTAAGGATCTTGTAATGAACTCCTGATCATCAGGAACGGATCTTGAGTATATATATAGTGCGACAGAATTTTAGAATAAGATAGGAAGATGGAAATATAGAAGACTTAGTAGATAGAACTGTTAGAGATAGATAAAGTTACTCACTTACTTGGACTATTACATAATAATTCTTGGATTTATATGTACATGTGATTGTTTTACTTGAATTTATTTTTTGTGAATTATTTTTCCTGAATGTTTCTATTTATGATGTGCTGTGTAAATAAACTGTAGACTAGAATTTCGGCATCTATTTTCAAGATATGAGGAACAAGGATAAATTAATTTATTCATGCAAACTGAAATTATGAAATGTGTTGTAAGACCGCTCGGTGTGGCGCTACAAACTAACTAGGAAATATCTTGGAGATTTATAGATGAACATGCAAGCATTCATGATTTTGAATGTTATTTAGCAAGAGAGTTTTGCACAAATTTAATTTTCAGTACAGTAATTTAAACTGGATGTGTAATTTTCAGTACAGTTATGTAAAATGAATATGTTACTTATTATGATTGTCAATTTCTCTACAGGACATAATTGTAGTTTATTTATATGGTCACTCTTGCAGTACAAAACACACAAAACTTTTTTTCTCTGTGTGCATCATACACTTGTGAATGTTTTACACCACCATGTTTACATATTTTACATTGATGACATGTAAATCGAGCACACATATCTGGATACATGCAAACATGCATTTACCATAACCTATTACATATTTTCCAAGGCGTGTGAAGTCGAGCACATACATGAAAATGTGTGAAGCTGGACACATACGCAAATACACATGCATCTGCCACAACCTATTACATATTTTCCAAGGTGTGTGAAGTCGAGCACATACATGAAAATGTGTGAAGCTGGACACATACACAAATACACATGCATCTGCCACAACCTATTACATATTTTCCAAGGCGTGTGAAGTCGAGCACATACATGAAAATTTGTGAAGCTGGACACATATGCAAACACACTAACATATACTACAGACATAAAAACATTATCTAAACTAAGTCAAGCACAGACAGGCTCACTGGGTGAAGCTGGATTCATACATGATCTCATGCATTTTGCAAACTGCATCCTCACATATATTCTAATAGATTTTTCACCATTTTTTGTGTTTGTGAATATGTAAAATGCATCATTTTGCATTACAAGTTGAAGATGTTATTAGCCTGTATGTAAGCGCAAATTAAATTACCTTTTATGTAATTTTTTCACATTTTTAATTCAATTTAAACTGCAAAGTTTATTTCATATATGTACATGCACCATAAAGAATAAATAATATTGTACCGGTATTATATTTTAAAGTGAAATGGGACCTCCATTTCATAAGCAGAAATGTGAAATTTATACTTATCATCTGTATCTTTTTTTTTTATTTTGTCTCACATGTATCTGAATGTGTAAAGGAAAACAAAAGTCAAAGATAGTTCAATATAATGTTTATGTTCAAGGTTATAACGGATATTGTTTGTGCTGTATATATGACTCATCATATGATGAGAAGCCAAAATACAGAATATTTTAGATAATTTTTCTTTGGAAAATGACAATTATCAATATGCCAATTTTTCCCATTGTTATATTAATAATTAATATATCTTTAATATCAGTGTACATATGAAAAATGTATGCCATCCAATCCAGAGAGTTGTAGGCAATCCTGGTGCAGATAATATTTTTTTCCCGTGTTTCATAGTAGAGCGGGAACACATTGTATGAGAGGAACGTATATTAATGGTTTTGGTTGTATATGTAGGCGTGGCCAAAGGAAGGCCAATGAGAAATTAGTACTTAGTAAAGTGTTCAAATCATTCTAAGCCAGTGCTCTTCAATACACACACATTTTTTTTCTTTATATATAATATATATATCATATTTGTATAAATGTACTGGTAATGGAAATAACAAAACTGTTGAAATGTACCCGGTATTTTAATTTGGATTTTTTCATACATGGAAATATTATAGGGTGTTCGTGCATTTTTAACTATTGCACTGAATGCACGTCCGGCATTCTCCCTTGAGACATTATTTACATAGCGACGGACACAGGTTTTCCATAGTTAACCATCTATGGTTTTTGCCTGGGCGGTTTTTAATGTCTGTGATAGGGGTATAATTTATTAGAGGTAAAATATTTTACAAATGCATTCCAGTGCTTTATTGTTTCACATTCAATGTAATGTATAGATTTTTATAGATATGTATCAAAATAAACGCCAGCTGCTCCAACTAAGCTAACCTGGCTTACAACATAGTTGTATTATTTGAGGTGTAGTCTGTCAAATAATGATGAGTTGAGTGTTTGATTCTGTAGATGACCATTTCTAATACTAATTTCAACTGGAAATGGATACAAGATAATAAAAAAAATATCTTTGACATTTGTTTTAAAATTCTGGGTACTGACTAGATTACATTCTTTAAACTGTGAAAATCCAAAGTATAAGTGTATTAAACAATAGTCAGCATTTAAATAAGACTTTTATAAAATATGTATATTTAATGAACTTTAATATGGAATTAAAGGTGAAAGGTTATATTTAATTATCTTTTCCTGTAAGTAAAGGTTATCTTTTCACCTTTACTTTTTGTAAAGTTAATACAAAGATGACCTTGCTTTTTGGAGCACCTTTAATGAAGTTTACTTTGCAAGTAAAGTTTTGTAAAGGTGTTTTTTCAAGCAGTGATATTTTGTGAAAAAATCAGAGAATCCAATATATTGGTTATTTTGGAGCTTACATTTTGGAATGTGTTTATGCTATCTAGGTGCAATAAACAAGTATGTAAAAGTCTGTTATAAAATGCAGTGCAACTTTTGTTCCATAAAGAGTACAGGGCTAATATTTGGACACATATAGATGGAGTCTATATTCTTTATCTACTACAAAGGTCAAGGTCATATCAAGAGGTCAAAGGTCAAATATTGTGACGTCATCTACCGAATCCTTTACTTTTTTGCCATTGAATTTTTTTTAAATCACCAAAATATCTGAAACCACCGGTTCAATTTTCTTTATTTTTACACATTTTATTCTAAAACACATTTAAATCATTCTCTTAATTTTTTGTAAAAAATATATTATAAATTTTCTCCTAAGAAAACTTAAACTATCGGATATTTACATGTAAATTTTCAGTTTTTGACACAATGTATGTTCTTTTTTACTCAATAATTTACCTAAATTTTCCAGTATCAATGTGATTTACTGATTTAAAGTAACAAAAAGGTTATCTTTATTAAAAGTACATGTATTACACAAATTTGCAATAGATCAATAGAAAATTCTAAAAT